AAAGGTGCTTTATTAACCAAGATGAAAAAATATAAAGATGCGATTAAAGTTTATGAACAAGCAATTCAGAATTGTAAAACAGATCAGAATGAATTCAAACAATTAATTGAGGAAATAAAAAACAAAAAATGAACAGTTATTTTAAAAATAAATCAAAATATTTAACAACATTTTTGAATTCACTTTATAAACTATTAGAACAATTTAAATGCTTTTATTGAACGATAACTTTGATCATTTTCGTTAATTTTAATTAATACAAAACTATTATGAGAATGGAATTAAGAACGGAAAGATTATTTAGTTTATTAGGTTTTAAGAAATATATCTGATTTCATATATTAAATTATTAAATAATCATAGTTTATTTTTTTAATCAAATCCTTTCTTTCTTAAAAATGTGTATATTGTATTTTTGAGGATCTATTTGATGATCTAAACAGATTAATTAAATAAAAATCAAACTATATAAATATAGAAATAATATCTATCTAATTTATTTAGTTTTATTTAACAATTGATTCAGCTAGCCTCATATTACTTATATAGTCCTAGCAATTTGAAATACAATTTTGTTGTAGCTTTTAGTCTAAATCACCAAAACTTTAAAAAAGTTATACATAAAACTCACAAAATTAAGTCTTGCTTATATTATTATATTTTTTATTATTTATAAATGTGTATTATCATTAGTAAGACTGTTGATAATTTTCTGGATGAATATCCCTCTATGTCATATTAGGATGCTTTTAGAATTACTCCAGCCATTGTAATTCATGGGGATCTAATTGTTTCTGCACTTGAAGAAGAGGCATTTCAAGGCAAAAATTGCAGTAAATTCTAAGTAGTATTTTTTTGTACATCTTCAGCATAATAATTAATTATCATTAGAGCTTGTTAAAATTTGGTTATGTTGTTGGAGTTACAGGAGATGATGTTAATGATTCATTAGATATTAAATAAGGTGATATTGGCATTTCTATGGGTGTAAGTGGATCTGATGTTATTAAAGAGGCTGCAGATAAGATTTTTTAAATGATGATTTTGCTTCTATTAGCAATGAAGAAAGATTTTTGATAATCTTAAAAAAACTATTGACTGTCATTTAAAATCAAATAATACTGAAGTGTTCCAATACATAGGTGAAATTGCTATTGGATTATAACTTCCATTAAGTATTTATTCTAACTATTTGTATTGGTACTGGATTCTTAATTTATTTTGGTACAATGAATGAAGATGGATCCCCAAACTCTTCTTCTATAATTTATGAATACACCATACGAATAGATTCCATGAACTCCTATTCCTCTTGCAAATGGATAGGAATATATATGCTTAAGCTCCTACAAGTTAGGTTTATGCCTAATATGAACAAGTATTTTTTATTTATATAAACTAATTAGTCCATTTTTAATATGTCCGCCTTACTGTTATCTTGCTTAAATTTTCTTATGCAAATGTAAATATTTATCTTAAATCTTTAGAACGTAAAATTTCAGTGATTTTTTCACCTCTTTACACTGTTATCTTTTACGGAGTTATCCCTTAAGATAAAATTTTTCTTTAGATTGTCTATAATCAGATGATACATAAATCAATGAAGAGTATGAGAAAATCTGAATCTTAATCTGCTTATGTAATTGAAGAAGAGCAAAGAATTTATATAATAATTTTATTAAACAATCTATGGAATAGATCTTATTTAAGAAAGCTTCATTAACTTTCAATCATAGAAGATTTTTTAAGTATTTAAATATACAAATAAAGTTTGGAGATAATATTTTAATCTATATTGAGTTTAGATGTTTTTTTTGGTTTGAATTTAGCTTTTATATAGAAGTTAATTATAATTAGAAATAGAAAAAGAATGTTGATAAATTATTTTAAATAATATGCATTTGTTGATTTGGTATATGATAGTAAATATAAAGGATTTAAGGTTTCATTGAATACAGTGTTTTAGATCTTTAAATGATTTAGTTGGATTTATGGTTATTC